CCTGGTCACCTGGTTATTAGTCTGTCGCCTGGCGACTGTCTTGTGTATCTGCATAAGGATTTCCTCTAGCATTTTGACGCTATGTACATACCACTGCACGATACCTCTAAGTATCACGTTTTGATTATAGTCAAGCCTCTTATCGCTGGCAGTGCCTTGGCCTTGGAACTTAACTTCTGCTCATGGTATAAGCTAAATTACTTTCTGTCACTATGTATCACTCGTTACCATGGGCTGAATAAACGCACTTTTACTTCAAGATAAGCAGCTTTTAATTACTGTTTCTTCGTCATCTTTCATGACCGCTTCTCCTTTCGATTCGCGGAGGCAGACGCGTCAGACAGTGCTTTCAACGTTCCCGATTCTCTCAGAGTCTGAGCTTCGAAAGAAGACAACTGGAGTCTGGAACATGCTATATTGCTGAATTATTAATTTATCGCTGCAGACTGCATTAGTTCCTTCATTAGCGTAGTTTGTTCACCAGTTCGCGCTATTTGAGCATATCACCGGTCTTCCTGAATGCTACGCAGTATGTCTGAAGTGTCTTATAGTCGAGTTGCACTTACTTGCAGAATATTCTTTGTGGATTTTCTTCATTGTATAAGAGCTTCATTTTGACTGAAATTATCTTTATTTCGGTCTCTTCTCGTGCGGAATTGAACTGATCAAGGGCATGAATCTGTCCAACTATGACGTTTTTCTCCCTAGGATTTGCCTGTCGTTCCAGTCCATGAAAATCGTTCTTGCAGGAGAGGAGACAACACACGTCCTTGTTAGAGACCAGCCTTCAACTTGAAGGAGAATTGTCTTCCTGCCATTAAGCCAGACAAACTTCCAGTAGTCGTCTAAAAATTTGAAGTTCTCTGATGGACAGCAATATGCCCAGTATTCTTGCGGTATTCTCTACAGGTTCAACCGAGATACTCTGTCGTAAACCGTATTTAGGTAAATGAAGTAGGCATAAAGTCCCGTCGCACATTCCCAGCATTTCTCGCAGACGTGGCTAAGACCATCGTTTTTTTTCGGTAGTGTTACACCCTGTGCGGAAGCCATAATTCGTCCTGTATCTTCTGATCCCTCATTTCTTAATGCCTTCTCTTCGAGTATTGCGTAGACTTTA